TTCTCTTCTTTCCCAGGTCAGAAGTACAGAGCTGGACAAGAAATGAAGCATCCTAGGTCCAGTGCGCATGGCTAGCGGCTGAAGTCCTGCCTTGTATACCATTTTTGTGCCGGTTCGTATCTTGGCTACTTCACTTCCCTTCCAGATCCCTTCCTGTGGCCTGGAAAGACAGTTCATTTTGGCACCTAAGCCTCGGGACCATGAACCTGCATGGGAAACCTGGAAGAAGTTCCTGGCTTACGACTGGCTCAGCTCCAGCTGTTGTAACCACTTGGAAAGTAAATTAGCAGACAGAAGATCTTTCTGACTTCCAAGAAAATAATTCAAAAACCTTGCTTTTTACTTGCAAACTTGGTAAAAAAAAAAATATGCTAAAATTTCAGAGAGTCTGGGAAAATATGGAGGCATGTGTACATTAACAAATTTCCCTAAGATGTGTAATTAAATGAGAAAAAACAAAATAGCAAAGGCAGCATGTAGAATTGGCTGGAGAGGATCAGACCTGTTATGTTGTCCAAGACAATCCCCACAGACACGGTGAGAAAAAATGCTAAGCTGCTAGCAATGGTTTGTGTGCATTATGGGACTATAAACATCTTTTACGATCATTTTTATCTCTCTCTCTCTCTCTTTTTTTTTTTTTTTTTTTTTGCAGTGAGTATTAGGAAGGAAGGACGCTATTAAGAATACTCACAAGAGAGATGGTGATAGTGAGCAGTGTGAGGCCTTACTGAGGTCTGAAGAAGCATACTCTGAGAGCGGTGGACCCTAGAGCAGGTGTTGGCTTAGATCCAGGTCTTATCTCTGCAAACTTACATTGACAACAGTTAGTTTGATAGGTAGAGGTAAAAATAAGAGACATAAATTTGGGCATAGAAACACATTTTTTGAGTAATATATTCACAAACTTAGTATCTCGGTCTCTGTCACCAAAATGACCTCAGAGAAACAACTGGAATGCAATTAGAATGCCAGGGGCCCAAATCATGTCTTGTATATGATTATCTGCTGCAAGGACCATGGAATACAGACAAAATGACTCATTTTAGAATTAGAGAAGGGAAAATTTACTACTAATTCATATCATTAAAAAATGGAAAATAGAATCAAACGATGAATTTGAAATCTTTCATGTTGTTTAAGGCATTTTCCACAAACATTTTTTTTAAATGGAGATTTAATGTTTATTCTTATTGGAAAGACAGATAAACAGAGAGAAGGAGAGAGAGAAAGATCTTCCGCTGGCCGCTCTCCAAGTGGCCCAAACACCAAAATTGAGCCAATCCGAAGCCAGGAGGCAGGACTTCTTCCAGGTTCTAAGCATTGAGCAGGATTAAAAGAGGGGCAGCTGGGAGATGAAACAGCACTCATATGCAATTCTGGTTCATTCAAGGCAAGGATTTTAGCCACTAAGTTATCACACTGAGCCCTCCATGAACCTTTTAAACACTCCTCATATTATGCCAACAGTTATTAAATAACCTCCTGAAACAGTACCTAATTGCCAATTCTAGAATATTCTGGGCAGGAAAAAAATACTAATGGTAGATTTATATTACCCTTTGAAAAAACTTCATGAGTGAAAAAACTGAATTCATTTGTGTATATGCCATTTATAAATGGATATATCAACGAATGAGAACAAGTGATTCCTTGAGCAGAGTGCTAGTAAATGTGGAACAAACGATGTAATTCTAAATCAGTTTCACCAACATTGGTCATAAATCATTTCTTCATGAAATACCAATGCAAACTATTGGATAAATACTTCGTAAAGAATGCTTTATTAATGTAGTCAGAAGATATTTTTAGTTCTCAAGAAGCAAACAAGAGCTTTACAAGGGAAACTTGGTAAGCATCAACTTGATTGTGAGAGCACCAGTAATGGGAGAAATCAAAACTGCGCAACACAATCCAAGCACTAACTCTGAGGTGGTGAAAGAAAATAGTGCTTCATTTGCAATAGGCACATGTTGTTGAATTCCCAGACTTCTTCCTGAAACCCTGACACTAAGGATCATGGTGGATCCTTGTTGTTGCGGAAATGAACCGTGAGTGATCAGGTTGTGTGTAGGTCTGTGGTTGGTCCAGAGTGCTCATGGCTCCTTTACTCAGCAATAGGAGGCAGGCGTGTTCTGCTACATTTGCTGCATTGGCGACCTGGACGCAGTCTTCTGGGGACTAAAGGTGCAGGAGTCACCGCAGCTGACCGTATGAAGAAGGGCTTTGACTTCCAGTGGCCACAGCCAGACAAGCCCATGTTCTTCTACGTGACCCAGGGCCAGGAAGAGATCGCCAGCTCCGGCACCTCCTATCTCAACAGGACGGAGGCAGCCAAGGTGGAGAAGATCACCACGAGGCTGCTGCAGGAGGGCGCCAAGCCAGACCAGATCGGCATCATCACGCCCTAGGAGGGCCAGTGCTCCTACCGGGTGCAGGACATGCAGTTCAGTGGCTCACTGCACACCAAGCTCTACCAGGAGGTGGAGATCGCGAGCGTGGACGCCTTCCAGGGTGTGAGAAGGACTTCATCATCCTGTCGTGCGTGCGCGTCAACGAGCACCAGGGCATCGGCTTGCTCAACGACCCGCGGCGCCTCAACGTGGCCCTGATGAGAGCCAGGTGTGGCGTGATCATCGTGGGCAACCCGAAGGCGCTGTCGAAGCAGCCGCTGTGGAACCACCTGCTCAACTACTACAAGGAGCAGAAGGTGCTGGTGGTGGAGGGGCCGCTCAACAACCTGCGCGAGAGCCTCATGCAGTTTAGCAAGCCATGCAAGCTGGTCAACACCATCAACCCGGGCGCCCGCTTCATGAGCACGGCCATGTACGACGCCTGTGAGGCCATCATCCCGGGCTCCGTGTACGACCGCAGCAGCCCTGGCCGGCCCTCCAACATGTACTTCCAGACGCACGACCAGATCGGCATCATCAGCGCGGGGCCCAGCCACGTGGCGGCCATGAACATCCCCATCCCGTTCAACCTGGTCATGCCGCCCATGCTGCCGCCGGGGCTACTTCGGGCAGCCAACGAGCCAGCTGCAGGCCGGGGCACCCCCAAAGGGAAGGTCGGCCGTGGGGAGCGCCAGAAGAACCGCTTTGGGCTGCCGGGGCGCAGCCAGCCCACCCTGCCCAGCAGCCAGGCGAGCCAGGATGTGGCGTCGCAGGGCGCCCTCACACAGGGTTACATCTCCATGAGCCAGCATTCCCAGATGAGCCAGCCTGGCCTCTCGCAGCTGGAGCTGTCCCAGGACAGTTACCTCGGTGACGAATTTAAATCTCAGATCAATGTGGCGCTGTCGCAAGACTCCACCTACCAGCCTGGCGGGGTGACAGGGCTGTCCCAGTACTAGAAGGTGGCAGCGGAAGAGCTGAGCTCCGAGGCTTAATCCATCAGAGTCGTCTTCTGGGTAATAAACAATAAAAATAAACGGATACCTGTTCTCCACTGCTAAAACTGAGGCGCGGCCGTGCGGGCGGCAGGAGAAGGAGAGCCGCGGTGGAGCGAGCGCGCAGCCCGGGCCGAGAGGAGAGGGAGACGGCAGGCGTGGGCCGGCCGCAGCCCCCGGAGGCCGCAGGGCGGAGGAGCCGGCCCGGGAGCCAGTGCTTTTCTCTTGGACGAAGAGGACCACGTTTTAGCAGGAGCCCGCGGCGAGCCCCTCGCAGGCGGCGCCCGGAGAAGCGGGGCCTCCCCGGGGTCATTTTAAGCAAACTTGGGGGCTCAGTGGGTTTCCGTTTGTTTTTGGTTCGTTTTGCTTTTTTCGTTTTTGTTTGGCCTTCTTTCTTTTTTTTCCGAGAGATTCTTTCAAGAAGTGCAAAGAAAAAAAAATAAAAAGCCATACTTTGCCGAGTTTGTCTCTGACACCCTAGTGGAGCAAGTGTGGAGCCAGTGTAGACAGTGGCCCAGGAGCCCGGACCGTGCAGACCAGGATGGACGCGGCCAGAGGGGCTCCCGGCGCTGGTGAAGGAGTGAGGCCGGGGCGCCAGGACCCTGTGCCCCTCCTGGTCCGGGCCAGAGCGGCCCCCAGCCCCTCGCAGGGAACCCCAGCCCCCAGGACTGTCCAGCATGTCCCGCACCCCGCCCCGCGGATGGTCCAGGAGGGGCGTCTGCACCCAGGCACTTGTTTTCCAGTGCATTTGTTTTAAGCTCTTTGTCACCAATAAATGTTAACAACAACAACAAACAAGGTGTGGGGCTGCTGTAAAGCTTCTCTGAATGGAGTGTAGCATTAGGATTCTAACTATAGAGGTAATAACTGAAAGCTGGTCTTGTTATCTGCAGTCTGTTGGACTCACCTAGAGCAGGCACCACTCCCCGTTCCCTTAATTTAGTGATTCAGTTTTCGGGAAGGAGTTGGCTTCTTTGTAGTCATCAGAGTGAAGAAATTCAAGGTAAGGGAGAGAGATGGGGACCTGATAGAGTCTGCCTCAGAGCTTTAGAGTTGAGGCTTTGTTTCAGTGTTAGATGCAGAGGGAGAATGAGGAGGGAGGCTGGAGCAGTTCCACTATCGAAGCCCTTCAGTGTCACTGTGGTGTCCCATGATGAGGGAGAAAAATGTGTCTGCGGGGAAGGGATGACTTAAACTTTAGGAACCCTGGTTTCATACATACTTGATTATATTTGAGACAATTTCCTTTTATGGACTGAAGAATTTCATGTTGTTTGTTAATTGATGGATGACAGCCTACAGGCTAGATGCACACGGGAGGTCAGGCAGGCCACCCAGTTCTGCTGTCCTTTTACTTACTGTCCTATTATGTTTACAGTACCTCACCTATCAGCCCACAGACACATGGACTGTGTGAACCTGAACTTACTCATTCTGTGTTCTGCTGAACCCAGATGGTTTCCACATGCAAATAAGCTACTAAACCTCCAGGCTCAGATACTTTGCAGACTGTTCCTCTGATCAAGTTTTTCTAAAGTGAGGGTTAGGACACCAATCCCTGTCAGGCACCAACACCACCTGACAAGGTAACTCTTCTGTTTCTGTCTTTCAGGAAAGCGGGCATGCCTTGGAGAACAGTTGGCCAAGACTGAGCTGTTCATTTTCTTCACTTCCCTCATGCAAAAATTTACCTTCAAGCCCCCAAGCAATGAGACACCGAGCCAAAAGTTCAGAATGGGCATAACCCTTACCCCTGTGAGCCACCGCCTCTGTGCCATTCCACGGGCATGACAGTGTCAAAAATAAAGAAGTGACATGAGCTGTGAAGCCACTGTGCCTGCCCAGATGGGAGCAGCCTTAAGGAAAGTGCCTGTGAAAGATGAAAGAAGTTGATCCCAGTCTATATGGAATTGTACCACATAATTCAAAAATTCAAAATCAAACATATGCATGTATCTGGAAAAAAAAAAGATGAAAGAAGTTGGCCCTTCCGGAACTGGATCCAAGTTTCAGCTCTACCTTCTCCTTGGAATTAATTCAGAGCCAAGCATTTATGTTCTAAATGATTTACCCTTTCACCCAAGAGATAAAGACAATAATACTTCTTCCCTAAAACATTTGTAAGACTCAGATCAAAACAATGATTTGTAATTCACAAAGTGAACCATAAAATTTGTGAGTGTAATGTGTTTGCTTCCCATCTCTCTCCTTTCTTAGACATGCTTGCTTCTAAGCCACATATGCACTCCTCATGAATAAACATAAAACTGTTATGGATTTTTAAGGCTTCAGGGCAATGTGTTGATAGAGGGGATGAAAGTGGGAATGTGGAACCTCGATGCAGCCACAAAGATTATCGAGGTTGTCTCTCCGGTGGAGTAGCATTTTCAAAGCTTCATCTTGTTGGAGCCTCAGAATCATCATTTGAGAAGGCAAGTATTAGTTCCCACTTACTAGCATGAAAATCAAGCACTGTTGAATCAGTTTCTATGGTTTAAAAACCTTGGAGACAGATCTAGTGAACAAATAAAGAAACATTCGCCTCTAAGAATATAATAAACACCTTAATTCTTCTGTCAGAAATGTATTCTCACACCTTTTCACAGGGAATTTAACTATGCAGTAAGAGTGAACATTTCTTACAAATGTACTGTATGTTTTTGGTGGCGAAGATTGCCTGGGGCCATCACAGGGGCTTTACAGGCTAATTCCGCTTCTGTGGCACCAGCACCCGAAATGGGTGTCATTTCAATTCCCAGAGGCTCCCTGGTAAAAGCAGCAGAGGATAGCCCAAGTGCTTGGGCTCCTGCACCCACATGGGAAACTTGGGATCACAGTTTCAGACCCGCCCAGCTCTTACCTGAAGGCCATTTAGGGTTTGAGACCAATGGGGAGTGAACCAGCAGATGGAAGACCTTCTTTCCTTGTCTCATACACACAAGCACGTGCACACACACACACACACACACATACTCCCTTTCTTTCATGTAAAATAAATGTTCTTTTAAAAAAAGGTTGCCAGTGGGCAATCAGAAATGGTAGAGTCCTCTCAATTCTCCATGTGATCTTTCAGGCCAGTCAATAGCTATAATAGGGAGGACCAAAAAACACTGATGGCTCATGATTTTGGGGCCAACCCCTAATGCAAATCAGCAAATGAAACAACCCTGTTAAGCTTCATTCAGCCACTTGAAAAGATCATGCTAAAGTACTTAGACCTATTTAATCAAAATAGCTCAGAACCAAGCAACTACAACACCATAGGCCTTTACTTCCCTGCTGGTTTGAAATCAAAGGAAACATAACGCTGTTGACACTGTGAGAACTGGAAACAGGGCAAAGGACAGAGAAAGGAGAACATATGTCTGGAGTTAGCCTCAGCTAGCTGGGACACTGTGTCTCCAAGGATTGTGTGGCTTTTTAGTATACGGGAGGTTGTTCTGGTCCTTTATTCTGGGTAGAAGAACGAGCCTCACCCTTGTGCAGTTGCTTTATAAGCCTCTGACAAGCTGCATTTCTACAAAGCAGATCATGTTCCAAACCAATCAGGCCTGAACTTCCAGCATGTCCAGGATTCTGTTTTCCATGTCCTTATTTTTTTCCCCTTCAATCAAATCACCAAAACAACAGAGTCAGTGGGTAATTGGCCAATAGTTTATATGATGTGTCACACTCACCAAGGGTTTATATGATGTGGCACAGAGTCCCAAGGCTCTTGGGCCATCCTCAAATGCTTTCCCAGGCCACAAGAAAGAAGCTGGATGGGACGTGGGGCATCAGGGACATGAACCTGCCTGTCCTGTATGGGATCCCTGCACATGCAAGTCGAGGACTTCAGCCACTAGACCTTACCCCCTCATCCAGATTTAATATATCCAGGCTGAATCGGAGTAGATCGAGTGCGACCTCAATGAACCACGAGCTTAGGAAAATAGCTGACAGTAATAGAATTTCCTGGATGTATACAATCTCTGTGTGTGTGTGTGTGTGTGTGTGTGTGTGTGTGTGGTCTATTCTTCAGCTTATTGGAAACAGAGTCCAAAGTACAAGCCCTCTTCCTGTTCCTACATTAAGTATACAAATACTCTGTTGTAAACATTTTTCTGATTCTTATTCTCCATGCATTTTGAGATCTCCGTGTCCCTCAAGCCCATTCTCTTAGGGCCGGCACATGGTGAGCAAGTAAAGGAGCATAATCTGTGTACTCATGAATAATTCATATTTCCCATAAGACGATCCAGATTGTGAACCATCTCTCCACCAGGTTTCTGAAAGCAGGCACTGCGGCCCACATTTACTGCTGGGCTGGAGGTTAAGGGTTTATACCACCAAAGGAGCTGGCACAAGTGATGCCCTGAGTTTTTAACGCAGCATCTTCAGGTCTGGCATTGCTGCACTGCATGCTCCAAGGGAAAAAAGGGAGATGAGGGGTTAGGAGTGTTAGGGATAACTATGAAGGACATTAGATTCATGGCTTTTCAACAGCTTAAATGGATTTTTTTAAAGATTTCTTGTTTTTATTGGAAAGGCAGATATACAGAGAGGAGGAGAGCCAGAGAGAAAGATCCTATGTTCACTGATTCACTCTCCAAGTTGCACAATGGCCAAAGTTGCACCGATCCGAAGCCAGGAGCCTGGAGCTTCCTCTGGACCTCACACGACGATGCAGGGTCCCAAAGCATTGGGCTGTCCAGGCCTGCCTTCCCAGGCCACAAGCAGGGAGCTGGATAGGAAGTGAGACCACCAGGATAAGAACCAGCACCCACATGGAATCCTGGTGCTTGCAACACGATGACTCTAGCCATTAGGCTACCATGCCAGGCCCCAGTAGATGAACTTTTTTCACGATCCTGCATTTTCTTCTCCTGAAACACAGATTGCAGAGTAGAAAGCTGTGTGGTGATAAAGGATAATGTTAAAGACCATGCAGTCCTGCCTGGGTGGGAAACGATGGCAGGGATCCTAATGAAGAACAAGGGCAACTCCAAACTCTCTCACCAATACGGTAAACAACTTCCTTTTTGTCTCAGAAGAAATTTCAGGCAGGCCCATCAGATTTCTCGAAACTTTTACAATGCAAATGTTTCTTTTAAATGAATTCCTAATAAGAATTGTGTTCATTACACTTTGTGGGCCAGTAAGTATACAACTTAAGTAATTCCATAAATTAGCTGATGTAACTCTCCCTACTCAGTTAGAAATGCAACAATAAATTGCCAGTAAGGTAGGCAGAGAGGGCAGCCAACTTCTCTGCACCATGTGTTCCCAGCACCCAGATCACCCTTCACACTCCTTCACTTCCCATCTATCACCATCACTCCGGGACCCTCCATGTATGTGTACTTGATGCAGACATGGTTTTTGTTTAACTCAACAGCATTCCAAGGGCCTGGGAATCTGCCAGTTCTGCTGTTTTCAGGCCACTGTCTCTCCAGGCAATCCTCTTGTTGGAATCCCAGATGGCCCCAAGCTGGAGTGCCCAAGGGATCTACCCATATTGAGTTCGACGCCCTTGTCACATCAGCCGGGTACAGATTCTTTCCAAGAGAGTACGCTCAGCCACCATCAGCATCTTGCCCCAGGCAGTTCAAAGCCTTAGCCCACCTTAGGATGCTAGTATCCTGAGACAACACAAAGCACAGGTGAATGTCTCTTGGCTTGAAGTTTCACACCTGCTGAATCCATGCAGCTTTGCTGCTTCATGGGAGAAGGGTCCTACTTCGAAGAAGACTCTAATTAAAAAAAAAAAAAAAAGCAAAGCTCAGCAATAGTTAAAATGACGTGATCAGTTTTTTGGGAACAACTCTAATAAGGGAAAGAAACCTCAACCTGAGAAACACAGAAAGGACAAATGGGGACTTGAAGGCACCAAGCTGGAAGGGTCAGCAGATGAAAAACTACAGAGGAAATACATCAGTTACGACTAAACCAACTTGACAGATTCTTGCTGAAAATAGGTCAAGAGCATATCGAATATCGGGGGTGAAGAATGATAATTTTGATTATATATCGAGGATCATCAGATATGGGGAAGAGGTGCTATCTCGAGACTGACTTAGCTAACAAATGGCCACACATACCAAATAAACACAGATGTTAAGGCCAATGCTTGGAGGTTCAAAGAATCATGACCTTTGTCATTTCACACTAAAGTGGTCTCTTCTTCCTCCTATTCCTCAATTAATTTTGAAGTTTCTTCAAAAGCTTCATGGAAAAATGGAATTAAACGTTTATTCTGGGGCCAGGCGCAATGGCGCAGTGGTTAAGGTCCTCGCCTTGCACGCCTGGGATCCCCTATGGGCGCCGGTTCTAATTACGGCAGCTCCACTTCCCATCCAGCTCCCTGCCTGTGGCCTGGGAAAGCAGTCGACGGCCTAAAGCTTTGGGACCCTGCATCCATGCGGGAGACCTGAAAGAGGCTCCTGGCTTCGGATCAGCATAGCATCGGCTGTTGCGCTCACTTGGGGAGTGAATCATGGGACAGAAGATCTTCCTCTCTTTCTCTCCTCTCTGTATATCTGCCTTTCCAATAAAAATAAAATAAATCTTTTAAAAAAAAAAGTTTATTCTGTTGCCAAAACTTTAAAAATGCATGCATAGCCAGGATCTTCAAGAACAACAAAGAAAATGCATTTGTGAAGAAGCTATGTATGAATTTCAAAAAATTTTGGCACCAAAATATTATCTTCCAATCCCATTATTCACCCATGAACCTATATTTTATAATATAATTTTACAATATAATTTAATTTACAATGTAATTTCACAATATAAATTTAAAATTTACAAGATACAGTTTGTAGGTATATGGTTCCCCTATCCCTGCCCTCCTTCCCCTTCCTTCCCGCCACATTAGTCACCAAATGAATACAATAGTAATAGTCCTTTACTGACAGTTACCTGATGAGCTTTTAGCTATTTAAATATATCGTGATGCGGCAGGCATGATAGAGGTAGAAAATCAAATATCTGGTGTATGGGTATATTTACATGTTTCAAAGTGGGACTCCTGCTTTATTCAGTAGTAGAGTCACATACTGTAATGTTACTTTATTCCTAACACGCTAGTCTCTATCATACCATTCATCAGGGAGAGTAAATACATATATACAATAAATTAGATCATACCAGGGAGAACGTTGCCCAATGTATGCCCTCATCTCAGGGAATGAGCTATCAGGATCACAGGAACAATTTCAGGTGTCCCTGAACAAGCTGCATGTAGGATTTCAATTTCCCATCTTCCAAGCTATTAGCTTCACCACCGCTCAGCATGTACCACCACTCAGCATGTACCACACTCAGCATGTACCACCACTCAGCATTTGACTTGCAGAACTGGGACACTAGCTGAAAGAACAACCAAGCATCCCATTTTCGTGTCTTGTTACACATACAATTGGCAACTCACAGAAAGACGCAGAGAGTGCTATTCTTTCTTTGTTGATGGAAAAAAATAGATGAATAATCCACAGGAGAATTCAGACTTTTCTGTGTCTCTGGTCAGCACTGTGAA